CCCCAAAACCCCAAAACCCCAAGTTTATACATTATTAATAAACATCAATAGTGTAGATATTTAAGATTGAAATTATAGCAAAGTAAATAACTCTAAATTATCAAGCGATTAAGGATTTTAATCAATTCAAGTGATCAAGAGGAGAAATTATTTGGGAAAAAGAGGCAATTATTCAGCATACTACATCTTCCTGTATGAATCTAGCCATTTTTGTTACTGTTAAGACTCATTTGTGATTCTTGATTTTCTTTTTATGTCTTGCTAAGCATATTATTAAGTTTTTCCAATGTAATTACTTAGCCTCCTTGTTCCTCCTCATCAAGATCTATTTAGTAAGTATTTTCAGAATTTTCTTAATGGATTTCATCATTAATAGGATTGCTTTCCTGAGATATTGTATGCAATCTACTTGCCTAGTAAAATTTACCAAATTTTTCCTCCTACATTTAAATATACTTTTCTAGTTCTGAAACGCAATTTTTACTTAATTCCTAAGGATATCTTTCTTAAAGTTCAAATATCTTATTCGTTCTGCCAGTATCATATATCTTCTTTGCTTAATTGCTATTTTCTTAAGTTGTAATAATTATTGATTCCTTAAATGAGTACTAGTCAATATTTTCTTCTCCAATGGTCAAAGTCTCATTTTAATTATCCATGTCTAATGTTAATCTAGCTTTTTTCTAGAAACTAAAATTCATCTTTGTAGTTTCATAGTTCACATTATTTAGGGTGTATCTTTCACTGCTGATTCCTTTAGTGTCATATTAATCTTAAGTCTCAGGGTTATCCTTGGAAAACTCAAGACTAGAATCAACACAATAAATTGGGGGTTTTGATGGAGTAAATCTGTCAGAGTATCTTTGAGTTTTCTTGCTTATCATAGTATTCTTGATGCTACTCTTAATCGATTAATTGGAATACTTCTAAAATTAATTTATAGCGTCTACTAAATCAAGATTATGTGGGAGCTATATGTATAATGGAATTTCGTTAGCATTAATTCCGCCAATTTACATCGATTATCTATCAGAATTATTGGGGAGAGAATATCTATGACTCTAATTATCTTCTCCCTCCTCTGACCTTTAGCTTTTTAATAACTTTTAGAATGTGATTATAGAGTCTTCATATCTTTCATTCTTATAAATACTAGATTTGTCCTCAATAGATAATTTGAGATCGTTTTCTGTAATGTTATTATGTATCTCTGTGAGATATCTATGTGAATTTTGCATTGATGGCAATTATTAATGGTCAAAGAATAAAATATTTTGGATGTGAGGTACTACAAAGGAACCCTCTTTTTCAGATTCATCCCTCTCCATGCATATTTATCTCGAGTCATCTCCATAATCAGGAATCAAAGATTTCTTGTTCATTACACTTCTCATTCCAAATAAAGGATCAAATATATTGAGAGCATCCTGATCATCAAATTAATCAATATTGGAAGTTTCTAATTGTTTGTCATACTCTTAATCTGATAAAAGCTTTTTCATCATTTTTTAGGAAACCTATGAAGAAGGTTTTTCAATCTATGCCTTCTTTTAAAGCTCTTGGAGGGTCTTTTAGCTATCCACGTGGCTTTGGCATTCATTGGGACTTGGATTGAAAGAAATATCAATAATGTTAGACTATGTGGTAGTCCCAGAACTTCTTCTAGATTCCATCATTGAAAATATGAAATTAGGTGTTTTAATACCTGGAGTTTGATTAGTAGTAGCTGATTCATTCATGAGTTACTAATTAGAACTATTGTTTAATTTGTTAATCTTCAACTGCCCTTTCTTATCTACAAGTTTTTTATGCATTTGATTGCTATTTTTTGGAATGTTGTTAAAGTTTTTATTTTTACTAGGATTAGTTTATTTTTTATTATTAATCTTATTAGAACTGCTATTCTACATATTTTGTGGACGAAGAGATAATCTTAGAGAACTTACCATTTGATATTCATTGAAATTTACTATTGGTTAGTTTTTTATTGCATTTGAGCTGATCAGATCATCTTATGTTGTCATATTTTGCTTTTCTTTTTCTTCTTTAATCTTTGCAATCTTAGAAAATTTGATGGTGTCTTGCAAAGAATATCTTTTTCTAATGAGAATAGACGATTTTAGTTCAGTATTATTGCTGGTACTACAATTGTAAAAAGTATTTAGGGTATTTTGTGTTGTAGGGATACCGATATTTTTAATATGTTCATTTACCGAGCTGAGCTCAGATCTAAAACCTCACACAGACTCTATCTTTTTATTTGTCATTGATGTTGTTGATACTGTCTCACTCTTATCCAGAAATGAGTTCCTGCTTTTTTTGGATTTTCTCTGACTTTAAACAGTCATAGTATTGTCCATGGATGAGTAAAAACTTCCATAATTTAGGGCACTATGCTTATTATCTGAATGCAAAATTTTAGTCAAGAATTTGGCTTCTAGATCTTAGTTTTTACTTTTCTTTACACTATCGTACAGTCTGCTATAAATTGAGTTATCTTTTGTAGTTATACTATTCATTTCATGAATAATTGAACCATTAAGATAACTGAGTCTATCATCTATTTATGGTGTGATGCGTGAATTTATTGACTTAGGCTTATCTTAAAAAAGCCTTGTACTTGCGAAGGGAATATCTACAATGAATTTATGAAGAATTTTTGCACTTACTTTTATTAGGCATTTGCTAATGATTTTAAAGCGATTTTTTAATTTAGAACTTGTTCGATTTAGCACTCAATGACATATTCTCAATTAAATTTTATTTATAATTTGCAAAACAGATAATAACGAAATTATTATTTTTCAAGTATTCACATAATTAATGTTTTAGTTAAACCCCAAGAGATCAAATTAATAGTCTAGATTTTCATT